GTAACCATACGTTATACAGTTAACTAGTCTAACATACTATTTTCCACATCTAATTAGTGTAACCATACGTTCTACAGTTACCTAGTTTAACAGTACGTCTTATACATTAATAACGATGTTTATAACAATATTACAGTGTTTATGATAACTACATTCTAGAAAATGACAATATCTCACCAAAACTGGAGTTAAGAATACACAACGTACATTTTCCCAACTTTTCTACGTTGATAAATATGTGTCTTCGTGTGTTAAATTGAAAGTATCTTAAAGCTGAAGAACGACCCCACGAAGAAGTAGGATATTTTACTAAAAATCTGTCCGAAAATAAATTATGAAACATATAATCGAAAAAGAGCATAAAGCGCAATAGTAATTATTAGTAAACAGTTTAGCTACATTAGTTGAGCTGATTTCAACACAACTTACAGAATTTCCATCAGGAACCATGGAAACAGTGGTAACTGGCAGAGTATGTGATGAACACAAAGAAAGGAACATATATATACCATGTTTGTCGTCTTTGTGATCCATTACCCTCGTGCACTGTACCTGCGATGCATATTAAGTACAATATAAAATGTAAAAGTAGTCTGTTGTCAAATCAGTAATTAAAAAGGCGCGGCTATATCAGGGCCGAATTTTTCGCCGGGCTGGATCGTAAATAAAAACAACTGACCATTGATCTGTTATCTTGTTTTCTACAGAGCCATGTAAACTAACAATATTTTACTGTAACTATATCGAGTTATGTAAACTAACAATATTTTACTGTTACTATATCGAGTTATGCTAACTAACAATATTTTACTGTAACTATACAGAGTTATGTAAACTAACAATATTTTACTGTAACTATATCGAGTTATGTAAACTAACAATATTTTACTGTAACTATATCGAGTTATGTAAACTAACAATATTTTACTGTTACTATATCGAGCCATGAAAACTAACAATATTTTACTGTAACTATACAGAGTTATGTAAACTAACAATATTTTACTGTAACTATACAGAGCCATGAAAACTAACAATATTTTAGTGTAACAATACAGAGTTATGCTAACTAACAATAGTTTAG